TTTACATTTTTTAAGGCATAAACATTCATTTAATCTATCTTTTAAGTAATGAAAATTAAACACATTTTTTGGGGGGGAAAATAAAGGTAATTTAATATTACATTTTTTATTTTTTTCTGGACTCCTTTTTAATGGTTAAATTAAATTTTATTAATCAAAAAGCATGTCTAATTAATTAAAATCATGAAACAAACAATTTAACATCAATTTCTAAAAAATTTAACAAAAATTACGTTTAGGGCCCTAGGAATTTTTTTTTCCCCAATCTTATGTTTTATTGTTACCAAATTCAGTTTTAGCATGTCTAATTATTTGAAAGCATAAAAACAAGTTTAATTTATTCTTACAGTAGCCTTATGATTTTTTTGTTCGGAAATTCTGTGTTGTGTATTTACATTTTTTTAAGGCATAAACATTCATTTAATCTATCTTTTAAGTAATGAAAATTAAACAAATTGTATTTTTTGGAAAATAAAGGTAATTTAATATTACAATTAAAACACTGAAGAAATATTGTATGATTATTCCTTAAAAATAAGGTTTTAATAATTTTAGTAGTAGTAGTAGCAGCCTATTACGTACATTCTGCTGAACAACAGTAATATATTTCTGCCACAATGCCTTTAAGTTAAACCGAACTTTTATTTTGACGGGTTGCCGTGAATACCTTTACATTTCTGTGTGTATATGATATGAGGATAGTTTTACTCAAATGAAACGGTCAAATGCTCATGTAGTGACTCTCAGAGCAGTCCTGAAGATGTTGTTCATGTATTTATGTCCTCATTTAGTGAGACGGCAGACCACCGCAAGCTTCAGCGCGACCATAACGTAGAGACCGAAATGACATGGCGTCGTGTAAATAAGATAAATAACATAAGGCTATTTAGTTTGTTTAATAAAAGAACAAGGTATAGACCCATTCTATCGGAAAGGTAACTTTAAATGACTTCTGTTGTGATCTGGCGCTATAGAGAAAATATAATTAAATAAAATTAACTCTACCTTCAAGGGGGGCGGGCCGCCCCTGATATAATGGCAGGGGAAACGCATATTTTTTTTAGCAGAAATACTGTTTTTTTTCTTAACTGTTGTGACTGGTGCAGATTTGTCATTTAAAAATGTTATATAATTTACTCTCCTGTTTAAAAGTTTTGGGTTAGTGATTATTTTTTTAATTAATTTTAAAAAATCATTTTAAATTTAATGAATGCTGTTAATGCAGCATGGCATCGATCAAACAAGACGTAAAGTTGAGTAATAAAATGTCTGTAACAAATGTTTGTAGTCACGGGAAGAAGGAGGCGGGAACCGGCGAACATTTAAAACTTTAATAAAATAAACAAACACAAAATGAAAGTAAAGCGGCAGCCCCTCGCGGACGACTGCCGCACACAAAATAAAATCCAGGCCTGGTCCTCTCTCGTCCAACACTGTTGTCACTCCTTCTTTTATCCTTCCGGAGCTCCTCCGTGGGACTCGAGACCGGTGAGTGGTGCAGGTGTCGCGCATTAGCAATTACTCCACCGGCCTCGCTCCGTTCCCACGGCTCTCGGCCCCGCCCCTCTCGTCACAATGTCTATTTCAAATAGGCCTAAATGCTGTTCTTTTGAACATTCTATTCATCAAAGAAAAGTGGGGGAAAGTCATGGTTTCCACAAAAATATTAAGCAGCACAACTTGAGCACCAAATCAGCATATTATAATGATTTCTGAAGAATCATGTGACACTGAAGACCATCAGCTTTACCATCACAGGAATAAATTATATATTAAAATATAAAAGCTATTTTAAATTGCCCCCCCCCACCAAAAAATGCAGCCTTGGTAATCATAATTTTTTTCACTACATTAAAATCTTACAGACCCATCTTACTTCCCAATCGAAGTTTTGAATGGTAGTGTACTTTATTACATTTATGTAAATATTATGTAATAATATAGTATATTAAAATACAATTTAATGACCAATAAGAAATGTTTCTTTGAGGATGGGTTTCATCAACTACCTCATGATTTGATGCACATTGCGGTAGCCTACATATGTCATGATTCAGTGCATTCGGATGCGTCAATATGATTTACAGGATTACAAGTGAAAACTTTTTCACTCCGCGTCGCCCCATCAAGCTCTCGCTGGATCCGCTCCTCTGCTATCAACGAGAGGAACGTCTGTACTTCCTCAACAGACAACGAAACAGCCACTTTTTGGTTGTTAAAAAAGGCGCTTGTTCAAAACAGTTGTGTTCGATCCTTCGCTGGCTGTGCTGATCTAAATCTAGCGGTTCTGTTGTGTTTGTGTCGCAAGTTCAGTGACTCAGGTAGTGACGGTTCTCTCCGGCCAATCCGTGATCAGCAGAGTTTACACGTCACGTTTTGGTAACGGTACGGTTCACTTGGAACCTAAAAAAAAAGTACCAGGTACTGTTCCCAGTGGAAAACCCCCCAAAAGTGAGCCGTACCGTGCCATACCATGCAGTGGAAAAGCGCCATAAATGACTCTCTCAGTCCCGGCCAGCGTCCCTCTGTCTTCTGCTGAGTGGGTCTTGCTTGCGGTCTATTCCCTTTCCCTCTGTGGGCCTCTTTCTCTTCCTCTCTCCCTCCTTCCCCTTCTTGCCTCCCCCTTCATTGCAAAAATATAATGTGTATATTGCAAAAATATAAATGTGTATTGCTCATTTGATGTCTCTTACATCATGTATCCCTTGTATCCTTAACAACATGTCATCGATGAGTTTGTTCTGTAACTGTGGACTGAAAATGCATCATGATGGTGAATTATGATGGAAAATTATGAATGATTATGACTAATATCTTCCTTATCTGCCCAGTTTTATTTAGCAAACTTTTGTATCAGGGCTCAACTTTTTCAATAGCCAGCACAAAAATGACTTGCCAATGTAATATATTTGCAAAAAATATATAAAAAAAAAAAAAAAAAATTAAAAAAGGAAAAAAAAAAATACCTAGTTAGAAAATACCCGGGTAAGTATTGGCAAAAATATTGTTAAAAATATAAAAAAAAAAAAAAAAAAAATTAAAAAAGGAAAAAAAAAAATACCTAGTTAGAAAATACCCGGGTAAGTATTGGCAAAAATATTGTTTGTATTATTTTATAAAATTATTTAGTTTATTGTTTTAGGCTATTGTTGTAAGTAATTGTTTCTGAAATCTTCCCAATAGTTAATGCTGCAATTTAATGTCCACTTTTCACAATCCAAGTAATTCTCAATGGATAAATTGAGTCCTGAAGTAATCTATTCCACTTCACAAGTAAAATGGGTCTGTGAGGGCTGTTTCATGCTGACCTGAATGCTTGATTTAAAAAAAAAATAAAAATTCGTACAGGCCTTGAGTTTGACTTGGGAGACCAGCTAAGAGATGCTGTGCTATAAACTCTGTAAATGGCACACATTTTAATTCTTTGAATTGAATTAAAACGTATTTTCATGCTGTATTTTTCAGACATTTACTTGCCTATGGCAACAGCTGGCATGACAGAGGGTTTTAAATATTGAGAAACTGAAATCATCAGTACTTCGCAAGAAATTTGTTAGTCCGTCAGTGGAAACATGATTCTGTCAGTGTAAAAATGTACCTTTAGAGCAAAGACATGTCTAGTTGATTAGACTCATCGCTCTGGTAGACTGAGGTTTAGTCAGTCACACACTGTACACACTGAGGCTAAAAATGAGGCTGACTTCTCTTCTTGGTGCTTTGTTTGTTCACACTAAGTTTGATTATGGACGTGACAACCGCATTTAGATGGAAACCCCCTTTTTTGCATGTTTTCAAAACGCCCCTTTTTTGTGTATGTTACTTTCAATCATGTTTATGAGTGATACTTTTTCAGATTTACCTCTATTTAATTTTTTTTTTTACATTTGTTTTATTTATTCTGTAACAACATTGGGAAAGATGTTATGTAAATGATAAATATTAGTTTTTTTTATATAAATGTTAATTACTAATTATTACGGTTTGTTTTATTATTACATTTTAATTATACTATTTAGCTGATAAATCGCAGCTACAAGCACAGCTATGATTTCCATTGTGTTTTAGATGGGATGGATCAAGAGTTTACTTGAGATGAATCGTTTGTTGGTTGTGCATGATATGGTTCGCTTGTGTGCTGTCAATATCCTCCTCATACCCGGGTTCATCTCTCTATCGCTCCCTCTCTCCGTGTTATCTCAGAGTCGTCAGTCACTCCTTGCTCTGTTATTGAGAGAAAAGAGACTAAAAAGAACTTATGGTGACAGAAAAATAGACGCACGAGTTCAAATAAAAAGCTTTTTTGTGGGCACTTCACACGCTCCTCGCTCGTACACACAAGCGTCCTTGTCCTTGGAGAGTTTTTTTGGGAGTGTTCAAGGGTAATCCGGTGCTTGTCTGATGAAATGTTCACAGAGACACTGGAAACACGCAAACAAACAGACGGGCAAAAAAAAAATACAGAAACAAAGACCCAAAGAAAACAAAAGGCTTTGGATGTGTTGTCATGAAAGCACCGTATAATCTAGGATTAATGTATTTATCGTCGCTCTCTCTTATGTATCTCTCCATCACAACAACAAGATGTCATCATCAATGGACAAACATTTACTTTAGAAACATCTAGAACACCTTTAGCGTAAGATTGACATTAAAGTAAATACGGTTTATCCGGTTTAGAAATGGTCATGTTAATCCAGGAGCTTGTACTGCAGAATTACACTTTATAGAGATCATTTGGTAGTGATAATTGATAGTGATTGTGATTACATTAACGTAATAACACACCAGGCAAGATTAAAGTAGTGCCCAGATGTCTCAACATGCTGCCGATATCCTGTAAAGCTGCAGGATCGAGAATCTGTTTTTGGACCTGTTGAAACTGTTGACTGCCAAACATGGCATACAAGCTGTAAATAATTATGCTGTATCACATGTTTGTAGTATTTTAGAGGCTTCAGTACACTTGGCTGTTGAGTTAACTGTTTTTGTGCTGTCTCTAGGTGCAATGGGAGGAGTATACCACTATCATTCAGAGCATGCGTGTGTCGACGCCACTGACAAGGTAAGACATCACTTCTTATGGCCGCTTACTAATGTAGACTAACAAACAGCCAAGTTCTTCATTCCTAATATTGACTTTTGCAGAGGATTTTGCAGTGCTACTCAAGGCTTTGGGCTACAAATGAATTGGCCATGAATGCACTAACTTTCGATTTCAAATCTAGTTTCCCTTTAAAAGTGGAATTCAGTTTGTCAGCATGTGGTTTTATGAAGTTTATCAGTAAATCATAATTTAAAGGTAGTTTGGTTTTTGTTACAATACTTTCTCTTACCCCAGCTACTTTATTGTAGTTATTCAAACACATACTGTTTTTAGCTTACTGTGTTGTGTTGTGTTGGTGAGATTTGAATCTGTGTGGTTATTTAATGGTAACTGTTTATATGAGAATGTGTAGTTAAACTTTTGTCAATAGTACTTTATCAAAAATTAAAAATATGTATGGGTAGAATTGTTTTTTTAATATAAATTTAAGGCCAGTTATTGGATTGCATTTAACTGTTCCCTCCCCCCCCCCCTTAAATGATTACTTTTATTCAGCATGGATGCATTAAATTATAACTTTATTCATGGAAGAATCCTAAAAAATCACTGTTTCCTCAAAAATATTAAGCAGCATAACTGTTTTAGGCATTAATAATAATAACTTTTTTTGAGCACCAGATTGGCATATTAGAATGATTTCTGAAGGATCATGTGACACTGAAGACTAATGGCTGCTAAAAATTCAGCTTTGCCGTCACAGGAATGAATTACATTTTAAAATACATTTTTGTTTTCTATTTTAATGTTTCACCGTATTACTATTTTTTATCAAATAAATGCAGCCTTGTGAGCATTGTGACTCTTCAAAAACAAAATCTTACCAACCTCAAACTTTTAGTTAGTTTAGGTAGTGTAGTCTAAAATAATACTGATGTATTATGAACAACATAAATTAACAATGAACAATAATTTTATAAACTGCAAAATAAACAACTTTTTTTTTTATTGGCACAGAACCACTTTAAGAAATCCATTTGCTGGATTTCATCAGAGTATGTTTTAATATATTTAAATCATTTTCATTTTAACCAACATGCACATTTACTTTGGGAAATGTATTGTTCTGTCATTGCTGGCCATTTAAAATCAAGAGCGAGAGGGCGTGAAGACAAAAAAACAAAAGGCAGTTCCTGCCCAGTTTTACTCCACTGTGTTTACAGGCAAAGGGAGAAGGAAGAAGGCTAGCTGACTGCAGCTCTGTGATTGGCTGAAACGGCCTCTGGAGGTGGACCTGTCCCTGTGAGGGAGGGCAAGAGGGAGGGGGAGGAATGCAAGCGGGAGGCGGGAGAGGAAGAAGGGATGATGTGAGAGAGAGAGAGAGGAAGAGGAAAGCATGCAAAGGGGGAGCGGGGGCACTAATGATTTCACCTCCAGCTGTGGGACATGGAGAGAGGGGAATAGTGGCAGAGAAATGGATGGCTGTCGAAATGAAGGGAGTGGAAAAAGACTGGTGGGGCTGTGTTGGTGCAAGCGAGAGACTGAGTTATGATCCGAATGAGACTAAGGGAATTTAGTCTGTGTTTCTGAGAGGATTTTGAACCATAAAAATGCTTTTGCTGCTCTTAGTGGCAGAAAAGAAACCAGGCCAACAACCCTTACCATTTCCTGTTTTTGACAAACGTGTATGTGAGGGAGAAACATCACACACACACACACACACACACACACACACACACACACAGAACAGAATAGCGTTTGGGCCCGTGGGTAACTGCGTCTCATCGTGTGTGTGCTGACTGTTCAGAACTAAACAAAGCATATTTGGGGTGTGTGGAGCCGTTTTGAAAGCTATGTGCTTGCTGCTGGCTGTATATATGAACAGCAGAACAGGACGTGTTGGCTCTTGGGAGGTCCTGAATATAGAGCGCTGAAACTGAGACGTGTGTGAGAGTGTGTGTGTCCATTCCTAGGCCTCCGCACAGGCAGAAACAAGCTCTCTATGGTGTAGAATGTAGAGGCGGCCTCAAATGGTTTTGCCTGTCAGAGGGAGGAAAAAGAGGGAGGAGAAATGAAAGGCTGGAAAATAATGAGACTGAGGAGATGAGGGGGACCCGCTTATTCGGAGCACTTTCATAAAGTCCCAGCGTTTGAAGAGCAGTCACCCAGCGCAAGGACTCTATAGACTCAGCCTATTAAATATTAAAGTATTACACTGAAACAGAAGCACATTGTGGATTCTCACATCAAAGCGGTGCTTCGGTTAGGCGTGTGAGGATGAGGAATCTCCTGCTGATTGTTATTTCGGAAGGTTGGAAAATGCGGCATCTCGTGTTGTCAGTTCCTAGCAAGTAGTGCAGTTTGGTACTTTAATATTTCCCCTACAGATGCGTCCAGTATTTGAGAGCATGTAAAAGTTTAGTCTTTGATTGCAACACTACAATTCTGGGTAGAGATGCATCACAATAGTTGACTACTCACCCAACGGCCAGCTGACCAATTATAATACTATTATTATTGTTATTGTTGTTATTATTATTATTATTATTTTAACTTAAAATATGTTTGATATAGTGGTTGTGCTTTAAATTAGCATGGTGACATTATATATTTAAAAAAAAGTTGCTTCTTTAAATTCAACCCCTTTAAAGCACACTTTATAACACACTTTTTATTTATTTTTTAAAAGTAACAATCCATCTCACTGAAACCTGCCTAATTATAAATGCCTAGTTCATTATGGAGTTTTGCTAATTTCATGCTTTAGTGTTGCTACGCAAAGAAACACATGTTAGTGGACTAGAGATTTTCAGTGTTGCTTTATATGTGACCCTGGACCACAAACCCAGTCTTAAGTCGCTGGGGTATACAGGTGCATCTCAATAAATTAGAATGTCATGGAAAAGTTCATTTATTTCAGTAATTCAACTCAAATTGTGAAACTCGTGTATTAAATAAATTCAATGCACAAAGACTGAAGTAGTTTAAGTCTTTGGTTCTTTTAATTGTGATGATTTTGGCTCACATTTAACAAAAACCCACCAATTCACTATCTCAACAAATTAGAATACTTCGTAAGACCAATAAAAAAAACATTTTTAGTGAAGTATTTTCCTTCTGGAAAGTATGTTCATTTACTGTACATGTACTCAATACTTGGTAGGGGCTCCTTTTGCTTTAATTACTGCCTCAATTCGGCTTGGCATGATGGAGGTGATCAGTTTGTGGCACTGCTGAGGTGGTATGGAAGCCCAGGTTTCTTTGACAGTGGCCTTCAGCTCATCTGCATTTTTTGGTCTCTTGTTTCTCATTTTCCTCTTGACAATACCCCATAGATTCTCTATGGGGTTCAGGTCTGGTGAGTTTGCTGGCCAGTCAAGCACATCAACACCATGGCCATTTAACCAACTTTTGGTGCTTTTGGCAGTTCGGGCAGGTGCCAGATCCTGCTGGAAAATGAAATCAGCATCTTCAAAAAGCTGGTCAGCAGAAGGAAGAATGAAGTGCTCCAAAATTTCTTGGTAAACAGGTGACTTTGGTTTTCAAAAAACACAATGGACCAACACAAGCAGATGACATTGCACCCCAAATCAACACAGACTGTGGAAACTTAACACATTAAAAGAACCAAAGACTTAAACTACTTCAGTCTGTGTGCATTGAATTTATTTAATACACGAGTTTCACAATTTGAGTTGAATTACTGAAATAAATGAACTTTTCTACAACATTCTAATTTATTGAGATGCACCTGTATTTGTAGCAATAGCCAACAATATATTGAATGGGTCAAAATTATAGATTTTTCTTTTATGCCAAAAATAATTAGGATATTAAGTAAAGATCATGATCCAGTGAAGATATTTTGTAAATTTCCTACCGTAAATATATCAAAGCTTAATTTTTGATTAGTAATATGCATTGCTAAGACTTCATTCGGACAACTTTAAAGGTGATTTTCTCAATATTTCGTTTTTTTGCACCCTCAAGATTCCAGATTTTCAAATAGTTGTATCTCGGCCAAATGTCATGATCGTACATGATTTCAGGTCAGGTATAAATCTCAATTTAAAAAAATTGACCCTTATGACTGGTTTTGTGGTCCAGGGTCACATATTTCTTTAGTACTTACACAGTGTGCGCAAAACATTCCAGCCGTTTAACAACTCGAAAATATCGGAGTTGTTTACTCAGGCATATTTGGCTGTTGCGCTGTTTCATATTAGTTTGTCTCGTATTATGTTTTAGTGTTTAATTTAGTGTTTTAGTATCACATGCAGACACATGCAAACCACATATCAAAGATGTGATAGCTAACCAGTGAGAGTACATGATACAGGAGAAGTGTGAAAGGAAAAAGAAAACTGCCAAATTCCTTATTTAGGTTTGTAATTATGATATATATTTGCAGAACATTTTGTCAGAAAATTGTTGTTCTTTTATTGGACATTGGGGATTAACAGTCAAAAATCGAATTCGCCAGCTAACAGAAATGCTGATTCAGATGTGTGAACCATCAAGTATATGCATGAAAGCAAATTTTGTTTTTTTTTAGTAGTCAAATTTGCGTTGTAGCAGTTTGTTGACTTAAAATGTTAAAGATCTGAGCTGGTAAAAGGTTAAATCCCTCAAGATTGATCCCTGGACAACTACCATTGTGCCCTTCTGCAAGGCACTTAACCCCATATATCTAAGTGTACTGTTAGTCACTTTGGGCAAAAGCACTAGGGACACAACAGTACCGTATTATGGCTGAGTAGAAAAACCAACTTGTGAGTGAACCCTTTGCTTGCTTTTTGAAATATTTTGTGTAGTTTTAAGAAACCACTACAGAGAGAACTAAATTGTTTCCATTAACTGCTGAATTCAATATGAATATTATTTAGGTCATGCTTCTTGGTAGCCTTAAAGGGGTCATATGATGCGATTTCAAGTTTTCCTTTCTCTTTGGAGTGTTACAAGCTGTTCGTGAATAGATAAGATCCCTGAAGTTGCAAAGACTAAAGTCTCAAAACCAAATC